ATTAATGACATTCTGCATTGACCTTAGCTTCTTCTTGCTGAATTAACTTTAAACAATTTAAATCAGGGCGCGGTTTTGTCGTTCACCCTTTCGTCGGGTCACGAAGGGTGGGGGGCACGAGACTTGTTTCATCTTTCTGAAAGAGCCATTGGAATTTGAGGCGACCCCTGGAGCGGATTCCAGGTGCGGTCAACCCTGAAGGAAGCTCAGGTATGCGGAGTGCAGTGATGACAAATAGTGACTCTACCCTACTTCACCTGTATTAGCGCCATGGAAACGGAGGGTCCGAATTCTGCTGAGTCTGTGGTCAGCCAGCAAACTGGAGAGGACAGCACCGGCAGCTGGTCCAACTTGAGTTTCGATGAGGAACATCCAGACGAGAGCAGCAGCTTTCTCCACCTCAGTGACAGGTAACTAAAATCTATTTTCTAATGTTGACGGATGGCGTCCCGTCCATCGGAGTCAACTCTTAGTGACCCGAACTTCTCCAGAGTGAATGTTTAATGTGCAGTTTTGATGAGATGGCTTCACAAACCCTTCTAACACCGTTAAGGTCCCGGGTTGATTTTTAACAGGCTTTAGCTTGAGAAACTGGTATTTTTTTAAAGGTTGAATGATTTAACTGTCGGACACCTCCCCCCCCGCCCCCCCGCGCACACACCTGACAGGCTGGTAAGCACGGGGTCGTCCTGGAAACAGAAAGGGTCCGGCTTGCATCGCTTTGGCCAGACTCACTCAATCCCAGTAGGGGCACGCACGCACAGGCCCAGCCTTCGCCGTCCCAGCAGGCGTGCATGTGGACAGATGTTGACAAGCACACGCGCTCACGGAAGGATAGGGTGGGCTGGGCCTGTGCGTGCCCGCGCCCGCCGACTCCTGTGCGCATGCATGTCTGCCAGGATGGCATGGACCTGGGTTCCAAATAGCCTCCAAAAGTAAATCAGAGTCCAAGGCAAAGTATTCCTCAAAGTTTATGAAGAGAGCCATGTTGGCACACCTGGGAAAACCTGAATCTGAAGGCTTCCCGGTTTTCCCCATCCTATTGAAAGTTCAAGATCTTGCCCCCCCACACCCACCAGTCCATCCCATGGTCCAATCTTTCACTGCCACGCTGGCAGTTCCACCCATCCAGTTCCGGTCAGGTGCAGAGCTGCAAAGACAAAGGATGACCTTGGTTTTCTAGAAAGGAATTTTGTTTTGGCTACATATCATCTAACGCCGTGCAATATCCCCGCTCCCGTTTTCCCACCATAGAAAATGCCTAGTAGAATAATAGAAAGTGTGGCAGGCCAGAGATCCAGCAGGAAAGATGGCGGCAGGCCTGAACCCTGTGTGCGCGTGTCCCCACTGGGACTGCGTGAGCCTGGTGGCCGAAGTGACCCAGGCCTGGCCCCCTTACCGTTTTCAGGATGGCCGCAGGGGCCAGATCTGATCGCATCGCGGGCCTTGAGGTTGACCCCCCTGATCTACGGCAATCCGCTAGTCAATAGGAAGTTCTGGTTGGAGCTAACTACTTATTTCTTCGTCGTTCAGCCCTCTTCTCTTCTCTCCTGGCAGTAATGGTAACAGCAGTAGCTGGAGCAGTCTTGGTTTAGAAGGAGATTTGTATGAGGAGAATTTGTCCTTTTCGACATCCGACAGGTTGGTCCATCCAAGACCCAACGACAGGACGGTCCGCCCCCCCTTCCCTTGTGTCTCCATGCATGGCCGCGATTCCCCTTTTTTTCAAGACCAACAATCGGGCGCCTTTAAACCTCTCGGTTTCACTGTCGGCGTTTGCTTCTCACTTCTTCTTAACAATCGTGCTTGTTCCTGAACCATAGAGAGCGGGCTCCATTTGATTGTGTGAACGGTGTGAATGCCTTTTGTGGAAAGAACAAACCAACATCCGATCTGTGTTGTGCATGTCCGCCTTGCCGTCCCCCCCACCCCTCCTCCTCCTCCTTCTCCTCCCGATTCTGCCTTGCTAAATATGAAGAGTTTGCTTTCTGCGCTGTTTCTGATTTATTTATTTTTTTACTCAATTCCCTATCGTTCTCCCCGCTCTCAGCCGCCCCTTGTGGGAGACCTTGTGTGGACGTGTGAAGCGGTACAGGTCATCCTTGATTTACGGCCACCAATTGAGCCCCCCTCCCCCCCCCCGATTTTTGTGGTTAAACGAGACGTTTGTTTAAGCGTCTCGTTTAACCACAAAACGACACGCTTGTTTAAGCGAGTTTCATCCCCCGTTTTATCACCTTTCTTGCCTCGGTTGTTAAAGGAGTCGCTGCGGTTGGTAAGCTAGCAAGCCGGTTGTTAAGTGAATCTGGCTTTCCCCCATTGTCTTACCTTGCCAGAAGGTCGCAAAAGGAGATCGGCATGACCCCCCCCCCCCACGGACACTGCAACGGTCGTAAGTGCGAACCAGTTGCCAAGTGTCTGAATTTTGATTATGCGAACATGGGGAAAGGTCATCACTGTGAAAAACGGTCATAAGTCCCTACTTCCATTGCCGTTGTAACTTGGAACGGTCACTAAAGGAACCGTCGTTAAGTCGAGGACTACCTGTACTTTCTTCTCCAAATCATTGAATATTGATCTTTAAAAAGAAAAAAGAATAAAAGAAGGCGGACTTTTAATTCTTCAACCAGGAAATTTGCAAAGCGGGAAATGGTGTGAGAAGCAAGGAATTTGTTTTTTCACCATAATTCCTTACAATTCCTTTTGTCGGTTCTTGCTATATTTTTCTTGAATGTTCATCCCCAACAGTTTTAATACGGTCACCGTTTCTCACGGGCCTCCCCTCTTTTCTAGCGATGGAGCAGAAGACAAGGAGGAAGAGCTCAACGCTTCCATGGAAGGTGAGTCAAAAGGGGAGTGAATGTGGATTATATTGGAAGTGACACTCCGTCCAGTTTGGTCACCGTGATACAAAATTAAAATAAAAACAAAAAGATGTTGGGACTCGTAGAAAGAGTGCAGAGATGACCTGGGAGCTGGAGGTTAAAAGATAGGATAAAAGGTTGCAGAAATTGAGTATGTCTAGTTTAGGGGTCTCCAAATTTGGACCACTTTAAGGCTTGTGGACTTACAACTCAGAGAGAAGAGCAACAAGGAGGATTAGGGGACTGGAGGCAGTGCCTGATTTAGATGAAAAGAGGCCCTAGGCTATTCCACTTATGAGGCCCTTTCACCTCCCGTTT